CTCTCTCAAAAATAAGTAAAATCATTATACCTATATTTATGTCAGGTAGGCAAAAAATATATTTTTTGGTGTGCCACAGAATTTTAATAATTAGTTTATGTGTACCATGATAAAGGTTGAAAATCGCTGCTTGAGAGAATGGGGGTGAGTTTCTTGCATTACAGCAATAAATAACCAATCACATACCTTGGTTTTACTAGGTGTCATTTTATCACATACAAATATCAATGAAATAAATACAATGAAATAAAAACTTAAAATTCCTGGAAAGTTGTTCCTTTCCTTCACAAAGTGATATACTTAATCTCCTGGTTAGGTGATTAAGATCTTGATAGCCCCGAGAAAGCCTTTTTGGAAGGTGAAAGGCTTTTTTTGTGTGTGAGTGACAAATTTTTAAAACAAAATGATAAGCGGCTGCATTCACCATACATAATGAACTAATATCTTGTGAACTAATACCCACTTCGTTGATTCTTGTAGGCCTTCTGTTTGTAAACATGTAGCCTACCTTTATTTGAAATAAAAATGTAAGTAGAGTTAGCATTTATTGTACTTCATAGCAAGTTGAAATGTTATTTACGTAATTAATGAAATGCTTGTAGTAGCCAAACACTAGCCAGCTAGTGGGCCTTTTTGGTATTGATACTGAAAAATAAAATTATTTGTGTTTTATTAAGCAGAATTGTTTTAGTTTGGATACCAGGGAAAAGGAAACCCCATTTATTTGGTGCAAGAACGTGTAGCAGTTTGAAACATGGGCTCTGGAGCCACATCTGCCTGCTTTGGAGTCCTGACTACAGCTGTTCGACTTTGGACAGATTCCCGTCTTTGCCTCATTTTTCTCCTTATATCAGTTAGGATGGTGATAGCCTCACTCCCTTTGAAGGTTGTGGGAATTAATTGAGACTTCATGTAAAGTACACAGAACAGTATTTTACATATATACATACAGCACACACAAAAATACATATTGTAAATGGAGATCTAGATTAAGGAGTATTGTTATCTGTTATGGGCTCTCAACAATTCTTTAAAAAAAAATTTAAAATATATTTTTATTGATTTTAGAGAGGAAGGGAGAGGGAGAGAGAGAGATAGATCAGTGATGAGAGAGAATCCTCGATCTGCGTCTAGTATGCGCCCCCTCCACCCCAATGGGGATCGAGTCCACAACCTGGTCATGTGCCCTGACCGGGAATCGAACCCTGACCTCCTGGTTCATGGGTTGACCGTTCAACCACTGAGCCAACATCGGCCGGGCTCGACAGTTAATTCTTATAATCGCTGTTCTATTTCCTGACAAATTCTCTTGATCCAAGAACGCATGGATTTAAAAGCAGGCTTTACTTGGGTATAGTGAGTAATGGGGTGAGCTGGCAGGTAGGTGGGCTCAGGGTCCGGCCTGGAGCAAACCTAGAGTTAGGGGTCCTCTCAAGTAAGAGTACAGAGCTACGTGAGTCCACCTTAACAGTCTCTCTTCTGATGACGTTGGTTTGAGGCCAGCTGTTGTGTGGAGGGACTCTAGTTGAGTGCTTATGGTTCTTTCTTTGCTCCCCGCTGACTCTTCCTTCACTAGCCTCCTCTTCTAGCCTCTACCTGTGGGATTAAAGTAGTGTGTCCATACCCCAAGGAGTGTCCAACATGATTTGTTAGGATGCAAGAAAAAAAATTACATTTTTGTCTTTCCTCTTTCAAATTATTTTAAAAATACGTGCTTTATAATATAGTAGAGGCCTGGTGCATGAAATGCGTGCACGGGGAGGGAGAGCTCTCAGCCCGGCCTGCACCCTTCCTCTCGCAGTCTGGGATCCCTCGGGATGTCCGACTGCCTAAACCAGCAATTGGACATCCTCTGAGGGATGTAGCAGTATGCCAGTTGGCAGGCGGCCAGGGAGGAGCCTGAATTGGGGCCAGGTGCTGCACTACTCGCCCTCATCCCGGCCCACAGTGCCTGCTGCTGCCGAGTTGGGAGAGGCTCCCTCTGCAGCCGCGCTTGCCAGCCATGAGCCTGGCTCTGGCTGAGTGGCGCTCCCCCTGTGGGAACATACCACCAGGGGCAGCTCCTGCATTGGGCATCTGCCCCCTGGTGGTCAGTGCGCATCATAGACTGGTCGTTCGGTTGTTCTGCTGTAATGGTTGCTTAGGCTTTTATTATATAGACTAGTAGATGTGTGACAGCATGTGTATAATTTATGAATATTCATGTATTGTAGTTATGTGCCCAAGCATTTTTTTACTTATACAAGGTGGGGCAAAAGTAGGTTTATAATTCATATGGAAAATAATAAAATACTTAGAACACCAGGAAAGAAACACTGTTTTGTGTGCTCACAACTGGAAACCTACTTTTGCCCCACCCTGTAAAGGTATGCGATCGAAAGTTTCTGAGAACATTTCCAGAGGTAGGCAAAGAGCTGCTGAAAACACAAGGCCTCCTCAGGAACCGCACAGCTGAGCTCGCTTGCTCTTCCTGGTGGTGTCATGGTCTAAAGTGAAGGTACTGTCCCTGCTGCCTGCTGTGCCAAATACCCCTTATTTGAAATCACACATAGCCTGGGGGCAGCAGCATAGGCCAGCTACCTGAATACACAGCTGTCTATTGCTCTTGACCTGGGTAAATCCCCTACCTCTGCCACTCCGAGCTGGAATGTTTGCTATGGCTCTGTTGGGACAAACTTTATTTTGCCAAAGTTAGATGATCTGTTCTTATTTGTCCGCGTTAAAGTTTTGTTGTTTGGTAGTGATTAACTTTTGCATCAGTATGAGTTTTTATATCCCACATCATCCAGAAATTTCGGTGTGTGTTTTTTTTCTTTTTTATGGTAACCTTCCTTAACACAGCTAAGTGATTTTCCTATTTTTAATTTTGTGTGTATCATTTCAGTGAAATTTTTCAAGAGAGAGAAAGTGAACTAAAGGGTTCAGTTTGCTATCTTGAAACCAAAAGCCTGCATGCTTTTAGATTTAAAAATAAAAAACCAAGGATATTTATCACTTAAGAACTATTGTTGACTCTTTCTGTAAAGCTTTTAAAATGTTAACAAACTCTCAGCTCCTCCAACTCTATTCCCTCACTTTATTTTAAATATAGATTTAAAAAAATATGCTATGCTAAGTGTTGGGACAATCCTGACTGTGGGATCTAGCTCACCACTTTATTTACTCTTAATATTTTTGAGTGCCTACCTCAGGCTAGTCATTCTTTGAGATGACATGTATATTAAGATAAATAAGGCAAATAATCTCTGTCCGTAATTTTAAACAGTCAAGGAGAATAAATAGATATACTGCTAATTCAGTTAATTATGATACGATACAGTAAATGTTCTAGTATAGGTGAGTACCATGGGATCGTCAAGGGACAAGTGATTCATTTTATCTGGATAATAGGAGAGCTTAATTCACAGAAGGTATGCCAGTTGAGCTGAACCTTGAGGAATAAATTATTCAACAGGTGGTAAAAGTACAGAAGAAACATTCTAGGCAGAAGAAAAAGCATGAGCAAAGCCGTAGAAGGGTAAACTACACGGCATGTTCCTGTAATGGTTTCTTGCTCAGTGAGGGAAGAGCATACAGTGGTGAGTGAAGGGAAGAATGGGGGGGTGGGGGGGTGAAAGCACCAGCTGGAATACCGGGAGCATGGCATTTAAATGTTTGCAGTGACTCCTGTCACCAAAGTGGCACTGTTTTAGCCTTGCCTTAACCAGTCCTGTAGTTGTGAGGGTAGATTGAGCAGAGGGGTGCATAAATTCTTTTTCAAATTCGTGTTTTGGGTTTCTTTGGATAAATATTCAGAAGTGAGGTTGCTGGGTCATAAGGCAGTTCCATTTTTTTTTAGTTTTTTTGAGGAACCTCATGCTCTTTTCCACAGTGGCTGCACCAGCCTGCACTTGTGATAGGGTAAATTGAAATAGGAAAATGGGATTACGACAATTCTGTACCTGTTTCCCTAGACTCTTGTTATCTGTTGAGATCATGATGGGAGTGAGCAGGAAAAGGAGGTATAAAAATATGGATCAAATAGGATTGAATTGACACTATCAAATTTAATATACAAACCTGAATTTAACTTTTAGGAAATGTTCCGCTAATTAATATGTTAAATTTAGGAAAGAGCTTCTCTATAGCAAAGGCTTATACCTGTAATACCTATGTAGTTCTGTTTTTCTTTTGAAGTATAGTGCCATAGTTAAAGTATGAATGTAGAACTGAAATTAACTTTTTTTTTTAAGGTGGTGAAAACAGTTGGTTTGCGTGAGGTCTGGTTTTTTGGGCTGCAGTATGTGGACAGCAAAGGTTATTCTACATGGCTTAAACTAAATAAAAAGGTAAAGTATGTATAATGGGAATGAATAAATATATATATATATATATATACTAGGGGCCCGGTGCACGAAATATGTGCACTGGGTGTGTGTGTGGGGGAGGGGGCCCTCAGCCCAGCCTGCCCCCTCTCACATACTGGGAGCCCTCAGGCGTTGACCCCCATCACCCTCCAATCGCAGGATCGGCCCCTTGCCCAGGTCTGGCGCCTCTGACAGAGGTGTCAGGCCTGGGCAGGGGACCCCCAGACCCCTCTGATTGCGGGTCCTGCCCCTTGCCCAGGCCTGATGCATCGACCAGAGGCGTAGGCCCCCATCACCCTCCGATCGACTGATCGGCTCCTTGCCCAGGCCTGACGCCTCCGCCAGAGGGGTCAGGCTCGGACAGGGGACCCCCATTTCCCCCCGATCCCTGGCTCTCATCCCCGCCCAGGCCTGAGGCCTCTGGCCCAGGAATCATGCCTGGGCAGGGGACCCCCACCTCCCTCTGATCTCTTGCTCCATCCCCCGCCCAAGCCTGACGCCTCTGACCCAGGCTTCAGGCCTGGGCAAGGGGACCATCATATCCCCCCAATCCCCGGCTCCGCCGCCCGCCCAGGCCTGATGCCTCTGGCCCAGGCGTCAGGCCTGGGCAGGGGACCCCCAGCTCCCCGCGGTTGCAGGCTCCGCCTCTGCCCAGGCCTAACGCTTCTGGCCGAGGCGTCCGCCCGGGCAGCGGGGACCCACAGTGGCAACGGCCCCGTGATCGCGGCCTCCCCTTTAGGCCCAGGCAAGGGACCCCTAACTCCTGGGACTGCCAGCTTCAACCGTGCCCAGCTCCCATCACTGGCTCCACCCCTACTTCCTGCTATCACTGTCCAGGGCGGCAAAAACTCCTGATTCTCCAATCATGGCTGGGGGGCAGGGATAAAGGGGGGCAAGGGCCATCAAATTTAAATGACACTAGCCAACACAACAGCCATCCAGTGTGAATGGATCAAAGTTATATCTATTTTCTTTGCCAGATTAGCAAAAATGTATTTTTTGGTGTGCTGCAGAATTTTAATAATTAGTTCATTAGTATGTGTCACACACACACACACACACACAAGAAATTGCTAATTAACCAGGATGCCATAACGGGTCCACCGGATAGGAGGAGGTTGCATGCGCAGCGTTGGGATGGAGCGGCAGGGGCCTCCACGCGCCTGCTCTGGAGGAGGGGACGGCCTGATCAGCAGCAGCTGCAGCTGCTTGAAAGCTGGGAGGGGAGACGGGCCCTGCCTGAGCTGGTGCAGCGGCTCAGGCGGCCCTGGAGCGGACACAGGCAGGGTGGCTGGGGGGCGCTGCGAGTCAGGCATAGGTTCCAGCCCCTCGCGGAGTTGGTCCGACCTGATTCCCGCCGGGCCAGTGCTACGCGAATCAGACGCGGGTCCTGGCCCCCCACGGGGCACCTCCTTGCGCAATTTCAATTGCACGCGGGGCCTTTAGTTAACTAATAGTTGGGCTACTCTGAGGTTAATTATCTTGAATTTGTGTCAGAAAAGCTTAGGTACTGATCAGGCCTCCTTTTGTAGTTATCTCTGGATCATTAAAGTTGTCATGCTTTTTAATTGAGTAAGGTACCATCAACTTATCTTAGAAAAAGAAACGTTCACTTTTTCTATTTGAAAATTTACAATATAGGAAATATTATTAACATGTACTGTATAACAGTACTGACTTTGATTTAAACATTTGTAGCATAAGCTTCTCAGGAGAAGTTTCAGTTTGGTTATAGGTCATATTTGTGAGCATAGGATCTTATATTTTTTTACAGGTTTAGAATCTAACAGATTTAGAATCTTATTGCTGTTTTACATCCTACTTCTAGAAAGAATTTGATGTGACTAGATTCGGTTATTTTGAACTTAAGGTTTTTGTTGATTATACCTAAATTACTGTTCCAGGTGACACAGCAAGATGTTAAAAAAGAGAATCCTTTACAGTTCAAATTTAGAGCTAAATTCTTTCCTGAAGATGTTTCTGAGGAATTAATCCAAGAAATTACCCAGAGACTCTTCTTCTTGCAAGTTAAAGAAGCTATCTTAAATGATGAGATCTACTGCCCACCAGAAACCGCAGTCCTTCTGGCTTCCTATGCTGTCCAAGCCAAGTATGGAGACTATAACAAAGAGGTGCACAAACCAGGCTACCTGGCTAATGATAGACTCCTCCCCCAGCGGTAAGTGAAACATGTTTCTATGTTATATTCTCTGAAAAATTACATTTCAGAAGTTTGTAAATCAAAATTTTTTTTTTAGGTTTCAAGTGGTCAGGTGAATTGGAGTATAGTTTTAAAAATCATGACTTAGTAGCTACGTAGGTTTATATAGTCTGCAACTACTAAACCTTCTGCCTCTTCTCTCCTCGTTTCCACAAGATAAGAAATAAGTAGAGATTTCAGCTTGGAGGATGCTGCTGTCACTGCTTGGTAAAAACACAGGCAGATACGTGTTTAATAAATGCTTCTGAGAATAATAAGTAACAGCCTGTGTGTCCTCCATAGAATAAAAATTATGTTTCTAACTTGAAAAGGCATTTGAAGCCTGGTCTTCAGACTGACAGTCCTGTGCTGTGTTCTTATCTGCATACACTGCTGCCTCTGTAAGTTTAAGGTGGCATGGCATGAGTAAAAAATCATTGGCAGAAGACCTAGATTTTGAGTACTGATTCTGCTCTTCGCTAGTTGTGTGATCTTGGGTGCAAAAACCCAACATCCCTGAGTCTTGAAATCTGAATCTGCAAAATGGGGATAACATTTCTGCTCTGCCTGCCTTTTAGTTTATGACGACTGTACATGAACTGTACGGTGTACAGTTTTAACTGTGAAGTGTGATACAAGTGTAAGTTGATAGCATTACTTAAGAAATTTAGGAAGTATAACATCAGATACTACTTTTAAAGATCTCAGTGCTTAATTGTAGCACACGTCTCTGATATTAGAGTATGCGTGGAGATCTTTTAGAACTGGAGAGAAGTTGTTACTGTTCTTAGTTCAAATTCTCAAGTTTTAAAATTTCCATTTAAATTCAAAATTATATCTTTTAATCTAAAAATTCAGTTCTGCACCACTTCTCATGGTAGTTCAGCTCTTAGATGTAGTTTCTTTTTCAGGTACTAAATATGAAGAAAGATTAAGCTATGTTATGTCTACTTTTATTAATTTCCTTTGATTTTAGGCATCCGTGTTTATTTTCATCTAACAAAGTATATTCTGTTTATATAAGCTTTATAAGTTATTAAGCACAGTAGCTTTAATATTTGATTATTAAATATTAATATTGCAGTAATAGTTATCTTTGAAGGTAAAACAATGCGTGTTGTTTACCAAAAGAATCAGGAATATGAGATACTTATAGTCTGTGTGTTTGTCTGCTTTTTATTACTATTCTAACCCAAAATTCTTTTTCTCAGATTTTTAAAAATATGTTTTCATTGATTTTATTTTGTTTTTTTTAGAGAGAGGAAGGGCGGATGATAGAGAGATAGAAACATCCATGAGAGAAACATCATTGGTTGGCTGCGGCCTGCAGCCCACCACTGGAGATTGAGCCCACAACCCAGGAATGTGCCCTGACTGGGAATCAAACCAGGAGCCTCTTGGTTCATGGGTCGATGTTCATCCACTGAACTACGCTGGCTGGGCTTCTCAGATTTTTTTAAGCACTGAATTAAGAAATTGAGTATTGGTACAGTAGAATTTCATTTCAGATAAGGTTTAGTTTTTATTTTTAATTGAGGTATAATTTATATATAATAAAATGTACAGCAGATTAAGTTTTAAGTCAGTACATAAGGCAAATATTATATATAATCAAAATTATCCTGAACAATTTAATTGTTGATCAAAAATAATTTTATCTCAACAAGTATATATAACATAGTTGTTCTTTCAGTGTTAAATCAGATTCATATTTGGTTGAGCACCAGATGAATTAATTGGTTTACAGTTCATAGTCATGTGATTTTAAATAATTGTGAACACTTGAATCACACTTAAGCACAATTTCTTATTTTATTTATTTTTTTAAAAATAACTTTTAAAATATATTTTTATTGATCTCCAAGAGGAAGGGAGAGGGAGAGAGAGAGAGAGATAGAAACATCAGTGATGAGAAAGAATCATTGATTGACTGCCTCCTGCATGCCCCCAACTGGGGATCAAGCCCACAATCTGGGCATATGCCCTTGACCAGAATTGAACCCAGGACCCTTTAGTCTGCAGGCTGACGCTCTAACTTCTGAGAAAACTGGCTCGGGCCAATTTCTTATTTTAAATGCATGTGTGCTGTAACCACTCTATTTAAAAAGAAGATAGCACATGCTCTTTAAAATTTGATCTTTGCTATTGAAAGTACAGTTAGTTGGTCTTCAAGTTAATAGTCTGTGGAGAACTAATTCCAGCTATCTAAGATTAAAAGTCACTCACTCTAATGTTAGAATACTACTAATTTTCCAGTTCAGAATGGAGAAAATATTTTCACAGTGATTGCTAATTTCATGTTTGGTATATAGCACACTTTCCTCATTATCTAAGTATGAGGAATTAGTAATCAGAAGGTTATTTAGCAATCATAAATCATAGTAATTTGATGATTTTGATGGATGCCTTTAATTCTTACATTAAAAAACCCAGATAAGCCATCTGTTCTCCCACAGTAGAATTTAGTTTCCTGGTGATATGAATACTTAGCTCCACCAGATAGTACCTTTCTCCTTTAAAAAGAGCTTGATAGACATAGATTTTTATATCCCAGGTTTCTGACTTGGGCATCTGGATGGTTAGTAATACCCTTTTGACAAGGTGGCGGGTGAGCAGAGGGTGGCAGGGGGGGAGGAATACATTTCACAGGAGGGAGATTTCAGTTTTGAACCTATTGAGTTTGAAATATCTATAGTTTAATCAAGAGAGAGCTAGCATTCATTTGTCAATGTGTGTTCAGATCTTGGAGAGCAGTTTGAGCTATGGTAGTTTTGGGAGTAATTAGCACAAAAATGGGAATGAAAGAGATGGACCTTAAAGTCCTCTTGGACACACAGAATAAGAGAAAGACGTGGGATAGACCTTGTTGGAACTTTACTTTTAAGTACAGAGAAAGAGGCTCCTGTAAAGTATATTGAGATGAATACCAGGGGAGTGTTACATCATGGAAGCCAAGGTAGAATGCTTTAAGGTCAGCAGTGTCAAATAATACAAAGAGGTCGAGTATGAAAGCAACGAATGTGTCTGTTGGGAATAATGGTAAGGTGATGGGTAGAGATCTTAGAAAGAGCAGTTTCAGTAGAGTGTTGGGGAGTGAAGCCAGATTGTGGTAGACCAGGGGCAATGGCCATGAGGTATAGAATTGAAGGGTAGTGAATATAGACAGTTCTCAAATGAAGTTTGCTATTTAAAAGAAGAAAACTAGGAGTAGCAAAGCATGGGTTTGTAGACATGTTCTGTAAAAGATGGGAAAGAATTGATTTTTAATTTCCTGTACAAATTTTTGAGTACTCTTCAGTGCTGACAAGGGCATATAATGGTGAGCAGTATCGATGTGGTCTTTGCCCTCTGTAACACATAAGTATAGCTGCTGATAATATAGGCAGGGAACAATAAATGTGTCTCCTGCCATAAAGAGTGGCGTGAAGATGCTGAAGTGGAGAGAAGTCATTTAAAGGCCCACATAGAGTAACAGTCAAGTTGGATAGATTGGCCTTAGGTGTGAAGAAGGGCTTTTTCTGGACAGAAGAAAAAGGGGGTAAGGAAGTTTTGGATACTTGCAAATCAGCCATGCATATTTAATAATACAAGGGCATTATGCAGAATACAAACAAATGATATCTGAAGTACAGGATATAAAAACCTACAGCAGAAATCTTAATGGCATCCAATTTAACCCATATCTTCAGATTTAGTTAACATCTGGATACCAGCAATTAGCTGAATTGATTATGCCTTCAAGGCTGTTTACACTCCTGTTGGTGAGCAGGGGTCAGATAGCAAGAGAAAGGATAGACAAGAAAAATGTGGAAATTTAAGTGCTCTGAGAAAGAAGTCAAAACCCTTTCCCCAAAAAGCAAGCATTTCAAAAAAGAATACATAGAGAAAGGAGCAGTTTGTAAAAAGAAAATAATGGTCTGAGACCCCATCCATTAAGGAATCTACTCTCAATATTCACTTGTCCAAGGGAATATTGCACCCGAAGATTTCTTTGTATTGCCAAGAAATTCCTAGGTTTTATGTAAACTTTTAAAATAGCAAAACAATATTTTATTAAAAATTTTTTTTTATATTTTATTGATTTTTACAGAGAGGAAGGGAGAGGGATAGAGAGTTAGAAACATCGATGAGAGAGAAACATAGATCAACTGCCTCCTGCACACTCCCTACTGGGTATGTGCCCACAACCAAGGTACATGCCCTTGGCCGGAATCGAACCTGGGACCCTTGAGTCCACAGGCCAATGCTCTATCCACTGAGCCAAACCGGTTAGGGCACAAAACAATATTTTAACACCACAGCTTTTGCAATCAATAAAGTAGGATTTGGGGATTCACCAATAAGGAAAGATAATTATTATATGACCCAAAGAGAATAGAAATACATACTCTATAGCTTGCATAGTAGGTAAGTTATATGCATGTTGAATCTGCTGATTTGGTATTAAAAATCAGTTTGTGTGTTTTTATATTTGCATAATAAACACTGGAAGGATAAAACAACCTAATGAAAAGTTATTTGGAGGTTATGGTGGTGAGAAAGAGTATAACTTTTCACTTTTATATAAAGTATTGCCTATAGAAAATTAAATTTGGCAGCACAGAAATACATAAGTAAAAGAAGAATTAAGGCCTAAGAATTCTGATTTTCAATCTGTTCTCTAATTTTGCCGTTAATATTGTTATTTTTTCCTTCTGTCCAATATTTTATTCATTTGAAACATTTGAATTCGTATAAACTATCTGTATAATAACTTTTAAAGCAAGTTATTTAAAATAATTTCAGGATCCTAGAAACTTTTTGTTTTTAGATAATTGTAGATTCGTGTGCATTTTTAAATTGTGGAAAGATCCTGTGTATCCTTCCAGCTCTCCCTTGCATAACTTCAATACAGTATCACAGTCATAATATTGACATTGATACAATCTACCTAACTTATTCAGATTTCACCAGTTTTACATGTAGTCATTTGTGTGTTTATTCTAGGCAGTTTTATTGTGTATAGATTTGTTTGACAACCTCCACAGTGAGGGTCTGATTATAAACTTTTAAAGAATATTGACTTTTCAGTTATAGGGGCATTTTCATTGGTGTGTGTTTTTTTTTCTTTTTTTCATTGTAGTGTTTTGGAGCAACACAAATTGACAAAAGAGCAGTGGGAAGAAAGAATACAGAACTGGCATGAAGAACATAGAGGAATGCTAAGGTATTTGGATGGCTGTTTCCTTAGTGTTTTTCTCAAATTAAAGTATTTTTATTCTATAACATTAATTATTACATCAGATTATCCTCAAAAGATCAGTTGACATGAATAAAGCACTGAATTTTAATTCAAAGTATTTTTGTAATTTGCTATTACTCTTACTTAAACATATTGTAATAAGCTTTATTTCAACAGGGAAGATTCTATGATGGAATACCTGAAGATTGCACAAGATCTAGAAATGTATGGAGTCAACTATTTTGAAATAAAAAATAAAAAAGGAACTGAATTGTGGCTAGGTGTTGATGCTTTGGGTCTCAATATTTATGAGCATGATGACAAGTAAGTAAGTAGTGAACTAGTCATTAATCAGTTGGCTTGATTACCCTTACTGCTTTTTTCTAAATTAAAAGATCAGTTAATGTCTCATACTGGTAGGCTTTCAGACACCATATTTTTATTGTCTCAACATCTTGCAGTTTTATTTTTTAATTTAAAAAGAAAAATTTATTGATTTCAGGGAGGGGGAGAGAGAGAGATAGCAATATCAGTGATGAGAGACTCATTGATCAGATGCGTCCTGCACGCCCCACATTGGGGATGTAGCCCACACCTTGAGCATGTGCCCTGACCATGAATCAAACCCGGTGCACAGGTTGACTCTCAACCACTGACGACGCTCAACCAGTGAGCCACCTCAGCCAGGTGCTCAACATCTTGCAGTTTCAGATTTTACTTAGTGTATTTATCAAAATGAGAGGATTCATTTTTATTTTAAGTATGCTTCTTGATCCCTTGTAAGTTATGTCTAGTAACTATTAAAATTTGTCCCCTCAATAGTTGAAGAATCATTCTTTAATGTCATACCTGGCATACAAGTTGAAATTGAAGTTAGCGTCTATAAGAAATCAGGAGCAATGAGACAATGGAATTAAAAGATGTGTGATTTATTGTTTTGTGACACCTTTTTGTTGAACATTTATAGGAATTGCTTTGAGTATTTTTGACACTATTAAAGTAGAATATCCCTGTGTTAAAAATACGTAATTTTATTTTGAAATTGACCAGTATTTTTATATTAATATAAAATCCATCAAGCTCTTTCAGCCCTTTTCAGGAATGATAGCTGCAGTTGCTTCATACTTTAATTTATTTACCAAACCATGAAAGCATTCAAGTCTGCCAGTAGCACTTTTTACAAAGGCATTTCTCTATTCTGGGTTGGCTCCAAAATTTTAGTTTTATTGTTGCACATATCTAATAAAACACACATTTCTAAGTATATACATGATGATTCTAAAAGAGAGCATTTTATTAAGTTTACACTGGTATATTTTTTCATTTATGTTAATATTCAGAAGGGAAAGTTTTGAAATTTTTGAAAGGCAAAAATAACTTTAAGACTATTAAGGCCTAGTTTTATTTTCTTTTAAAAGTTATTGAATTAGCATCAGAGTACTCATTGTATGTATAGATATAGATAAAGATGGGGAATATGAAAGTCAGGGTTAGCTCAGTACAGGAGGGAGGGATTGGGGATTGTGGACAAAGGGTTCTTTGGTCTTTTATGTCATGGTTTAATTTCTTTTTTATTTATATTTAAAAATATGTTTTTAATGATTTCAGAGAGAGGGAGAGAAACATAGAATAGAGAGAAACATCATCTATTGGCTGCCTCCTCTATGCCCCTTACTGGGGATCGAGCCTGCAACCCAGGCATGTGCCCTAATCTGGAATCGAACCGTGACCTCCTGGTGCATGGGTCGATGCTTAACCACTGAACCACACCGGACAGGCTACTTTCTTTTTATGATGAGAATGTATTTATTATATTTTCTTTTCATAAATATATATTTTTATTGATTTCAGAGAGGAAGGGTAAGGGAGAGAGAGAGAAACATCAGTGATGAGAGAGAATCATTGATTGGCTGCCTCCTGCACGCCTCCCTACCAGGAATTGAGTGTGCAACCCTGGCATGTGCCCTGATCGGAAATCGAACTGTGACCTCCTGGTTTATAGGTTGACACTCATCCACTGAGCCACACCAGTCAGGCCCAGATTTTTTAAAAAATAGGGTTCAACTTTAAAGGTTAGTTAGGTTCTTTTACCGTCTCTGTTACTGGTTATCTTTGTGACCCTGGTCAAATTATTAACTGAAATTTGTATAACTGCTAGGGTCACCTTATAGGATTGTTGTGAGAATTATATGAGGAAATTGCTTTAGAATTTGTAAAAGTAACATGTAAATGTAGTGTATAATGTTACCTTAAAAGCAGTGTTCTAACAGCCTCCCTTTTAAGTAGGTATTTTGACTTACTTTGGTGGCCACTAGGGGACAGTATAAAGCGTGCATATTGAATAAAGTGTTTTTTGTAGAAAAAATTATTTGCTGTACTGCAGTCAGTCAGGTTAAGAATTAAAAGAACTATAAATAGATAGAAATTCATACTCTGTTATCAGAACACTGACTAAATATGCCTTTTAGCCAACAAGGTGTTATAGTCATTTTGTGTTCTTGTTATTGGAAGCAGTGATGCATTTGATGGGCAGTCTGAAACAGTAAAATATATGAAAAGCAGAAACAAAATTACTTATTCCAGTCTTATTTCCTAAATCTTTGTATGTAGGGTGGTAAACAGGGGCATCTGTTTTATCGTCATAGAGTTGGAATTTAGTTCTATTTTTCCAGATACTGTGTATCTAAGTGTTTAAAATTTTTTGTGGGAGATATGTCACATACTATAAAACTAAGCCTTTTATATATTTTTTATTATTATTAATCTTTTCCCGAGGACATGCTGAGAGAGAGAGAGAGAGAGAGAGAGAGAGAGAGAGAGAGAGAGAGGGCAATTAGTTGCCTTCTAAATGCACCCGACCAGGGATCAAGCCCAGTTATGTGCCCTGACCGGGACTAGAACTGGCAACCTTTCGGTGCATAGGATGACCGACGCTTAACCAACTGAGCCACTCCAGCCTGGCTAAAATTAAGCCTTTTTTAAAAAAAAGTCTTTATTGGTGAAAGTATTATAGATGTCCCCCTTTTTTTCCCCCATTGACTCCCCTCCCACCCTCTATTCTGCCCTTTCTGCCTTCACTGCACTGTTGTCTGTTTGTGTACTGCAAATTCAGTTTTTAGTATATTTATAAATAATGCAAACATTTTAAAATTAAACAGGAAGGAAAACATTTTTTAATACTTAGTAACTTACGTCCATAATTCACATGAAAAGTTATAAAAGCTACCTTTTTTCCCCCTCTCTTATTAAACGTATTTAAGCTTAATAGTTGTAGTGTCTTGACTCTAAATAAAACCAGTGCAAACTCTGAGAGCTCAGTTTAACACTCTAGAACTAGATAATTTTCTCTAGGTAATTTTAGGAAAATCAAGGTTCATGAAACATGAATTTTGGGGGGTTGGTTAGTCTTTGTTTTATGTAATGTAACTGATCAAATTTTCCCCTTAAAAGATAATGTCAACAGTATGTTATGAGTAAGTTAATACATTTTGAAAATTTGGAACTCTTAAGATCGGTCATTTGGATAAATTGGCCCAAAAAAATTGATAGGGATTTTGTCCATTGTTTCCTGCTTCTAACTAAAGGGATGCTCTCATTTTTTAAGGTTAACACCTAAAATTGGTTTTCCCTGGAGTGAAATCAGAAATATTTCATTTAATGACAAAAAGTTTGTTATAAAGCCAATCGACAAAAAGGCACCTGTAAGTAAATTTTTAAAATATGTCTTATGTATTGTAAATTTCTGTGACTTTGCTATGGTATTACTTGAAGAATGACATTGTTCATTTATTGAATTGCTCCTGAGGAATACTCTTTTTCACCTTGTATTGTATAATATATGTTACTAAAAATTCAAGGTTCTAATTTTATATAATTTTATTATACCATACAACTATTAGAGTTTTATTTTAGCTGAAATTTAACTATTAGCTATTAGGAGGTGGTTGAAAATAATCACCATTCCTAAGAAGCAATTTAGGAATGTTGGTATTGGTGTTTGGAATGTAACAGAGGTAGCCCTATTCTGTTAATAGAGATTTGCATCATGAATGTTGTATTTTTGTAATTGGAAGCCTTAAACTTAAATATTTATATTTAAATAGATTTTTTGATTCCTGTAGTGTCAAACGTAGCTCATATTCTGTCAGTTACTGAAAAGGTAAAAGATAAGGAGGACATTTCTAGGTTAAAATACTTGACAGCCTTGAACAAAGGACAGTTTTGAGATAAATGTGATAAAAATTAAAACAAACCCTGAGGTGGAGGCACAGATACTAATAGTTACGTTGGAGAAGAAACAGTAATAAATGACAGTTAATGTATTGAGACTATAAGATTATTATCCTCTTCACAAAACTGGTGGGGAATGGAAAGGTT